GGGCGGGCGGGATGTGGCGCCTGGTGCCCCCGAAGCTGGGCCGCCTGTCCCGCTCGCTGAAGCTGGCGGCGCTGGGCAGCCTGTTGGTGCTCATGGTGCTGCACTCGCCGTCGCTGCTCGCCTCCTGGCAGCGCAACGAGCTGGCCGACCGGCGCTTCCTGCAGCTCAATAAGTGCCCGGCGTGCTTCGGCACGAGCTGGTGCCGCCGCTTCCTCAACGGCCAGGTGGCGTTCGAGGCGTGGGGCCGCCTGCGCCTGCTGGACTTCCTCAACGTGAAGAACGTCTACTTCGCGCAGTACGGCGAGCCCCGCGAGGGCGGCCGCCGCCGCGTGGTGCTCAAGCGCCTGGGCTCGCAGCGCGAGCTGGCGCAGCTGGACCAGAGCATCTGCAAGCGGGCGACCGGCCGGCCGCGCTGCGACCTGCTGCAGGCCATGCCCCGCACCGAGTTCGCGCGCCTCAACGGGGACGTGCGGCTGCTCACGCCCGAGGCGGTGGAGGGCTGGTCCGACCTGGTGCACTGCCCGTCGCAGCGCCTGCTGGACCGCCTGGTGCGCCGCTACGCCGAGACCAAGGACTCGGGCAGCTTCCTGCTGCGCAACCTCAAGGACTCGGAGCGCATGCAGCTGCTGCTCACGCTGGCCTTCAACCCCGAGCCGCTGGTGCTACAGGTGGGCGCGGGACGGGGCGTCACCTGGGCGCGGGCGCTGCGGGTCCTCGGACGCCAGAGGGAGCTTCCTTCCGCCCTGGCGCCGCCGCCGCGCTGGGGCTGGCGCTGGGCGTCCCTTGCCCGAGCTCCCGGACCTTGCTGAGGTCCTTCCCGAAGTCATCGCGAGCGGCTTTAGACCGCGTGTCCCCCCGCAAACCCTCGCCTAGTGTCCCCGTGGCCGGCCTCACCTCGGCCCCGGAGTCTGTCCTCGCTTTGTGTCTTCCTTATCTAGCAGTGGTTCGGGGCAGGGAGGGGAGGATCAGGTCAGAGATTAAGACTGCGGTCTGCGATCGGAGTTCGTCCGGAGAGTGGTCCCAGTGAGGTCAGAACCCAGAAACCACAAAGTGAGCGGAGACCGCTGGATTGGGCTAGGGAAGGCTGAAGGCCGAGCCTGATCTTTGCCCCGCCGGCCCTGTGCGTCTGGTGATCGGGTTGCTGAAAGGCGATGAAATGTTATGCTCGGGTGGAAAACAGGGAGAGGAGTTTCTCTCCTCTTGCCCAATCGCCTTGTGTTCTCTTCTGATTGTATTTTGGAAGTAAATGTGCCTTTTAGGGGAATAGAATGAGATCCTGTTCCTGGGGACAGCAAAAAGAAAAGAGAAAAAAAAAAGTAGCTCGCCCTTGGGGTAGTGAAACGAGTGTCCACGCATTTCCACCCGGCTAGAGCGCGGTGTCCTTGGGCGGTGATTACAGCTGTGGGGTTGTGATTCCCCGAAAAGTTACCGCGCGCCTCTTTCATGAGAGTTTTGCTGCATTTCAGACACAGGGGGAAAATGATTTAAAATTGAATCAAGTAATTTTGGAATATAGTTCATGCCCTTTCGGTGGTACTGAGAATGTCACGAATGCCTGGAGGGTTTGTACTGGTTTTTTTTTTAATCTGAAACGCATGGATAGGAATGTGTAGCATTTGTTTTGCTTTTTCAAGTTCTCGGCTGCCCATTTTAGCTAATAGAAACCAGTATTGTTTGATTAGTTCAGCCATATAATCTCAACACAAATATTTCGCCTCAAATGAAATTTTAGTGTGAGTCTTAGTAAGTTTTAAGGTGTCCTAGGCTGTATGTATGTAAAGGGTTAATTTTGAAGTTCAAGTTGTATATTAAATACTGCTGTATCCTTAGTGGTGTATAGTTGAACTTTCTTCGAAGAAATTTACTTTATTTAGTAGCTCCAAAACTAGTCTTTAAAGGTTGAGTCCATATTTGTGATATCTACACAGCTGAATTTAAGTGATATATATATATATATTTTTTTTTTCTTCTGATTGATCTTTCCAGATAGAAATTGTGTTGTTTATATCAGCATGATTGGTTCCTGGAGAAAGCTTTAGCTGTAGTTTGCTGACGCAGGTAGTCTGTCAAAGCCTCTGGGACCCAAAAATTTAGTAAGGAGCTATCTTAGTAATGCATATTTCCTATATTTAAAACATTGGCTGCCTATGAAAAGAATTTTATCAAGTTATTATGAATTGGTGTATTAGAGATACCTAATATTAGGGCTAATGTTTTTAAAACATGTATCTATTTCTAGTTCTTTATAGACATAGTTATAGCTTCCAAATTTGAGAAAATTTGGACTGTGATTTGCACTAAGGTAAATGTGCTTCGTTTTGGAAGCTTTTCTGTTTTTGAAGTTCTCTTGGCATGTTTAGGTTGCTTTGGAGTTCAGATAGTGAAATGTGCTTCTGTCTTGTTTTCGGATTAGCTCTTTTCCTTAAACTATTTTCATCCTTAGTGATAACCGTATGTTAAAAATTCACAGGTATTATTTTAAACTTGGTGATGCAATTACTCTAAGTGGATGGATAAAGTATAGGATGAGTTTGTTTTTAGTGTGTGAGATGTGTGTATCAACCTTTGTGGACTATGACATTGGTGAACTATTTTTAATTTAGACAACCCAGTTCCCAGGAATGGTACTATTGTTTCAGAGGTAATTACATCCTCAATTTTATAGTCTTTCCTAACAGTCAGTCATATTGGCATGTTATTTTTCTTAATCTGATATGGAAGTAGAATATGACTTTTTAAAATAAGAGATCTTTATGTAGCTGTTTTCCTTATAAAACCACTCTTTTTGGTTAAAAGTCAGTAAATTCCAAATATAGGTGGTATAATTGAAGATCGATGATGGTATAAAACTAAAATGAAAAGTTTTAAATTCTTTGCTCACATGCACAGAAAAATCAATCACTCAAAACTGGCTACTTACATTTTTTTGCTTCATGTAGTTTTTAAAAATGTCTTACACGGGTGCCAGTGTGTGTTTTACAGTTTAAAGGGGAACTCACATCTTGTTTCCAGGAGAGGGAGCTACTTGTCGAACTTTTGGACAATTTTTGACAAACTAGATTTTTAAAAATCTTCTGTTGTCCAAAATCTAACTGTTTTTTTTTGGGGGGGGTGTCTTTAAAAGTAACTTCCTCAAACTATTCTTTAAAAAAAATTCTGTGTACTAAACATGCTTCCAGGATAAGCGTTTTAAAATTTCTTGATAAAGTAGGCACTAAAAAAAGACCCGAAGACCACTTAGAGTCTGTTTAGCCTATTGGTGTCTTCTGGTCTGAAAAAAATAAAAAATGGAAGTCTCTTATGTCTTGTAAAGAGATATGATAGTTTATAAAATACGTGCATGCATACCTGTCTATGTAAGTTTATAATACAAATTTCCCAGTGTGAGGCAGTTTGGTAGTTGGATGATTTTACAAGTTTAGGAAAGTTTTTCTACCACAGAATCATCTTCTCATAAAATTTTATGAACATCATTTTAATAAACATCATACCACCAACATAATGAGTAGTATCATCATCTTCTATTCTGGTACCTTCTTTTCCTCCACACGTTTTAACTTCAAGAGAAATGTTTTAATACTAAGCGAGTCATAATCCTATGGAAAAGAAAAAATGGGGAAGGGGAGCTTTGTTGATTTTTGTGTTGTATAGTAACAATCTTGGAATATTCACACATAGAGGTGTTAGGGCAGTTGGCAAGACAACATGTTATTTTACTGATAAATTTTCTGTAGTGTTTGTTCCTCTCTATGCTTGAATTTACAAAGAACTGTGTGTGTTTAGCGAAGAGGAGGAGAGAGACAGACAGACAGAGATATACTGTCTGGATTTTTCAAAGCCCAGAGAGTATCTGATTGTGAACTGGAGGTACTAAAGATGGTCTTGTTTATAAGAAATGAAGAATGATCTTAGTTAGGGGGAAGGGGGGGTGTGGATTTAGTTTTAATATTGTATTTGTAGAATTTTATTTGCCTTATATTTTCTGAATCATGGTTTTAATATGGTTTAATATATATGTAACTGTTATAGTTTAAGCTATGGTCTTTAAACTTCCATTTTATTTCTTGTAAATGGCAAAATAACCTGCTAGGCATTATATAGTATATCTGGTACGTAAGCATTAAATGAATGTTAGTAAATAGGTAAAAGTAGTAACTCTTACCATTAGTATACTTAACTAGCTGCTTTGTAGCTTACTTGGGATATGGGTCTTCTTAAAAACAGTGATTCTATCGGTTGTACTTCCAGCTAGACTGATATGTCTTCCTACATTAAGGGTTGAATTTTTTGAAAGAATTTTGAGTGAATGATGTTTATAATTTATACA